TCACATATCAAAACTGTGCATTTTATATGAATACCATGAGAAAGTTTAGAAAAACTAATTTAATTAATTAAAAAGCAATAGGTTTGCTGCAATAAAATTTTAAACATGCTGGATTTAGTTTTCATATCATAAGTTGAGATTTAGCCTTGTTATTGTTTCATGATGTTTTTTAATGATGTTAATGAGGGCAAAATCATAGATTTTGTCTCTTTGTAGATGAGTTAGATTTGCTCTGTTCTGTGTGCAAAGACTGGCCTTAATCCTGGATAACCATCTTGCAAGTATATGCCATAAGAGGAATTGGACCAAAATGTATGGATATAGAGGGCAATATAGTGTTCTTAATAGAATTATATTGCCAAAAAGAAAGGAAGTGGCGATTCTTCTGCCCTCTGCCTTGGTCAGAACATTCTAAATGGTTAGACTATTTTATTTAATTCTAAGTATATTTTTGTAGGGATTTTGATGATTTGGAACATACCACAAAGACGATGACGGAATGGAGGGTGAGTGGATTGGAAGTCAAGTTATTAGAAAATCAGAAAACTGGTGGTGTTTAGCTAGCCTGCAGAAGACAAGACTTAAGGGGATGATGATCTCAACCTGCTCAAACTCTCTGGACTTCAGTTTCCTCATCTGTAAAATCAGTAATTTGGATTAGATAATTTCTAGGGTCACTTTACCTCTAATGCTGTGATCCCAGGATTCTATGAAGTATTTGATAGGCTGTCGGGTAGAGGAAGGATTATATTTTACAGAATCACAGAATGTGAGAGTTAAAAGGGACCTTAGTGGCCATCTAGTCTAATCTGTATTTAAAAGAAATCCTAACTATAAAGTTGCTTCCTAGCTTCTACTTGAATACCTACAGGGAGGGTAACCCCACTCCCTTTTAGGGACAGTGTGCCCAGTTTGCTCAACTAATCCTCATGTCTTGAACTCAAGGTCATTAATCATCATAGTTGCCTTCCTCTGGACACTTTTAACAGCCTTCCTAAATCATATAACTGGAACTAGACATAATACTCCAGGTGTGAGGGTTAAGGGCAGAATACTGTGGAACAATATATCACCTCCCTGTTTTTGGAAGTTATTTCCCTTTTAATGTCACTTAAGCCAGCATTAGCTGTTTTGATTGCCACATTACACTATAGACTCATATTGAATTTGTAATCCAAAACCTACAAATATTTTACAGAACAATTGCTTTCTGTCCATGTCTCCATCATTTTATATTTGTGACATTTATTTTTATTGTATCCATGTGCAATATCCCTATTGAGTTTCATCTTATTAGATCCATCCAATGCTTTAGCCTATAAAGATCATTTTGGATACTGATTCTGTCATCCAGTTGTGTTAGTCATCTATCCCAGTTTTGTGTCAACTACAAATTTGTTGAGTCTGCCATGTATGCCTTTATCCAAGTCATTGATGAAAAATATTATATGACATTTGACCAAGTACAGAACCCTGAAATACTCCACTGGAAAATTTCTATTATGCTATCATTGAACTATTAACAATTACTCTTTGAGTCTAGCTATCCAACCAGAATCCACCTGAATGTCATGTCTAATCCACATCTCTCCCATATTCTCATAAGAATAGTGTGATATACTTTATTAGTACTTTTGTTAAAATCTAAGTAAATCATATCTACATCATTCCTATCATCTATTGGTGTAGCAATCCTATGAAAAAGGAAAGGAAATTATAGCAGTCTTGCATGACCTGTTCTTGACATACTTTGGCTCTATGTAATCATTGCTTTCCTTTCTAGGTATTCTCCAACTCTCCCTCTCCCTCCCTCTCTCCCCCTCCCCCTTTCCCCTTCACTCTTCCCCTCTCCCTCTCCATTTCCCAGCAAATTCCAAATAAAATGGGATTATCTATCTACATAATAGAACAGAAAGAGGATTGTATATGAAACTGCAGATCTATATTATGTACAGTAGCCTTTTTAAAAAAAGTATATAAGTTCAATCTATAGCTTTCAAAGGTGTCCTGTTTTTTTTTTCTTTCTGGATTTCCTTCTGTTCTTTTCTTCACATTTTTCAAAAAGATGCTTCAGTGATCCACTTTTCCTCCTTCCTTTCTTCCTTCTTTCCTTCCTTCCTTCTCTTCTTTCCTTCCTTCCTTCTCTTCTTTCCTTCCTTCCTTCTCCTTTTTTCCAATTTTAAACTTTTTATTTGAAGTTTTGAGTTCCAAATTTTATTCCTCCCTCCCCTTCCTTCCAAGACAGTAAACAATCAGATATAGGTTATACAAGTGCAATTATATAAAACATTTCCATATTGATCCCAACTATCTCTTTTTTTAAATTTTAAATTTAAAATTTTTTTTTTTCCAACTGTCTCTTTAATGATCAATTCCAGACTTTTCCCAGTAATTGAAGTCAAGTTCACTGACCTATAGTTTTGAAAACCAGGACATTTGTCCTCCAATCTTAACAGTACCTTGATTATTTTCTATGATCTTTCTAATATCACTGACAATACCTTAGCAATCACTGCCAATTCTTTCAGTACTTGAGGATGTATTTCATCTGGGGCATGTGACTAGGATTCATTAAAGGCTACTAAGTCCTTTCATACTTTCTCTTTGCTTATCTTGGGTATCAGCTCTTCATAATCATTTTTATTCTGCTAATTCCATTGTAATACACTACTTAGCAGTAGGCATTTCATCAATGCTTATTTCCTTCCCCTTTCCCTGTACTCAGCTATCATTATCCCATTCATCATAAGCAACATTCCTATGATTTCTTTGAATTTCTTTTTACTTCCAATATAGAAAAAAAACCCAAACTGTTGCCTTTAGCTTCCCTTTCTGGCCTCTGCCCTGACCACTCCTCACACTCTTTTTACACATGCTTTTATTTGTCCTCTGTTACCTTCTAGCTTTCCTGTACATTTCTTTTTGTAAATGGTGAGTTCCTTTTGCACCCACAATGATTTCTTCATACAAACCCCATTTCTCCCCTCCTTTTTGGAATTGTTTCCCTTTGTGTCTTCCAAATTTTGTTCTTGAGAATTTCCTATTCCTTCTGGACTAACTTCCCTTGATGCCCTTGGGATTCAATCTATCATTCCTTTGAGCCCTTTGAAATCTGCTTTCTCTAAATCTAGTGTACATGTTACACTAGCTCAGATCTTCTCTATTCTATCACAGATTTTAGGTGGGAATGGTCACTTTGCCCTCCAGGTTCCTGTCCCTTTTGGGGCATTTGGGGTTAAGTGACTTGACCAGAATCACACAGCTAGTGAGTGTTATGTGACTGAGGTCAAATTTGAACTCAGGTCCTCTTGACTCCAGGGCCAGTGCTCTATTCACTGTGCTGCCTAGCTGTCCCCGGTTCCTATCACTTTTATTCCAGCACCCAGTTCCTCCCTGATAGTGAGAATCAGATCCAGAATAGAATTTCCTCCTGGTTCCTCCACCTTTTGAAGGATGAAATTATCACTAAGGCAAGTCAAGGTGTTATTAGCTACTCTGCTTTTGGAAGTGAGAAAACTCTAGAACATCTCTGATAAAGCACTAGTATATCACTGCCTTTGTGCCAGGCCTGTGATCTGTTTCTCAGACCCCTCTTCTTCTTACTTTTTCTGTCAAAATGTTTTAGAGTAGACTCCAATGGCAAAATCACTCCTATTTTTCCCTCGTTAGTTCTTCACCCAGATATCACACATCCTCCCCATATTTTTCCCCATCTGGTTCTTAGATTTCCTCACATAAGTATACTTTCTTAATATATAGTGTAATCTCATATCCCCCTTTACCCAGTCTAGTTCTTTTGAACAAGGCATTCCCATCTAGAGCTATATTCCAGTCATGAGTTTCATCTCAGCAAATCTCAGTGATTCTTATGAGATCAAATTTGCCTCCTTGCATTAGGATTTAGAGGTATTTAGTTTGTTGCCTAAACTCTGGGTTTTACTACTGGCTCCTTTCTTGGATATTGTCTCTTGTGAATTTTCTGCCATCCAAGCTTCTTCTTTCCTTCTTCTTTTTTTCTCTTCCTCCTTTTCTTCTTCCTCCTTGTCCTCCTTCTCCTCCTCTATCCTACCTAGATTTGTTCAGCTTCGTAGAACTAAGGCCATATGGCTCAGGATGTTCAGTCGTGGAATGGACTGCCTTAGTAGTTAGTGAGCTCCTTGTCTCTGGAGGTGTTTGACCAGAGGCTGAGTTATCACTTCTCTGGCATGTTGTAGAACAGATTTGTGCTTCCAGAAAGGTTGGGCTAATTGGAGTCAGAGAGCTCTACTGACTCTGATATTTTACGATTTTTGATTGTTTCAAAGTGATCACCATTCCTAGACAACACACTCTCTCTCCATATGTTTATTCCCTATTGATATGGCACAGTAGTTTCACTTTCATAGATGAAACATTTCATTCTGTTTTCTGGTTTGAATATCAGGGAGAGTTTTAAATTTTTATTTTCTTTTTATTCTACATTTAGCAAATACCAAACAAAGTGAGCATTTCCTCATATAGAAGAGAAAAGAAAAAGAGGAGTGTACATGGAACAGCTGGTTTTTCTTTTAAAATGTACAATACATTCAGTGTGCAGCTTTCAAGGCTGTTCTGCTTGTTGGTGCTTCTTTCTGACCTTCAATTCTCTCCTCTGAATTTTTTTAAAAAATGTCTCAATGACCTTCCCCCACCCCCTATCTCCTTTGGCTACTATATCTATCTCTTCTCTTCCTTTTCCTCTCCCTTTCCAAAAAAAAAAAAAAGAATCACAGGGAAAGTTTTTGAAAAAAAATAGCAGCATTACTAGATGAAACTATGAAGCTAGGTTTGGGTTAGATTATCTCTGAGGTCCCTTCCAACTTTAAGATTTTGCAATTTGGCCGAAGCATATACACATGTAGAAAAGTTCATATGGTCAGATTATACACACACACACATGCCAAAGTATAATTTTTCTAATAATGATGGCATTGGGAATAAATTGCAATGTTATTCTTTTTTTCATTGCTTCATTTGTTTAGGTAATGGGGGTAAAACCTGATGGAAGTGCTGTTTCATGAATATACTCACTTTCATATAAAACAGGTGAGTATACTACTTTAAAAATCTTAAACCTTTGATTATTCATTGAAATATGTTTTGTTTCACTAAGGCTGTCTTCTCCAAATTGTGTTTACTTCTGGCTTCTAAATTAATGTTGGTGGCTTCCTCAGAGTTCTCAATCCATGAGAAATTCATTTATTAACCTGAAGAAAGGAGAATCCATAGATCTTTCAAGGATCCTGTTAATGTGAATCTACTGTCACCAAAGCTTATTACATGACTTATTAACAAATATTTGTCGTCAAAGGGGCAGAGATGCCGCAAGTTGTACTGTCATGTTGGAACGTAAAGTTAAAAGAGAATGAAGGCGTATCACACGGATCTCTGCCCAGGAAACCTGGAGCTGATTCATGTTGGACTTTTGTTATCTCTTCCTCCAGTCAAGAGGGAGCTTTCCTCTGTTGCCTTCCATGATTTCTCTTGCTACTTCTTCCCCTAAAACTTTAGATATTTGCCAGAGTTTTGCCTTTGGCCTTCTCATCTTTCAATGTGATTATCATAATCTAATTTGCATTATAGTTATTTGTGTAGTTGTCTTGTCTCCCCCATTAGGCTATAAGTACTTCATGAGTAGGGGCAGCTAGGTGGCTCAGTGGACAGTGCAAGGCCTGGAGTCAGGAAGACTCATCTTTCTGAGTTCAAATCCAGCCTCAGACACTTACTACACCTAAGTCACTTAACCCTATTTGCCTCAGTTTCCTCATCTATAAAATGAACTAGAGAAGGAAATGGCAAACTACTCCAGTATCTTTGCCAAGAAAATCCCAAATGGGGTCACAGAAAGTTGGATACAACTGAACAACAACTGAACTTCATTGGTAGAGATTGTGTTCATTTATCCTCATTTCTCCTTCAGTGCCTACCACTGGTGTACATTGCAAATCACAGAAACTTAAGAAATGTGTATTGAATGAATGAGGATGTTACATGGCACTTACTTCCAAATGGCTTCCTCCACTGAGAAGGGAGATATTTTTCCTTAGTAGCTGTTATATAGCTTAGTAGATGATACATATATCAACTTCTAGCTTCTTAAAACACATTTTAAACCCCCATAAATTATTTTTTAAATCAATTAATTAATCAACGTTAAGCACCTACTATGTGCCAGGCACTGTGCTAAGTGATTATACGTTTCCTAACACCCAAAATATTCAAACTTCAGAAGAGCTATTCATTGGAAAGATAGTATTACTAGGTCACATTTGTGTGACACTCAAGTTCTTCTCACACGTAGTACTCCCTCTAGGGCTACTTCTCCAGCTTCCACTCAAATTGTCAGAATGGTTTACCAAAGGGTGGATGACATCTTACCTACTCTCTTTCATGGTCCTAGGGGTAACCCTGAAGGGCTGGATTTTTAACTATTATTGCTTATGAATTGTAACCCCACTAAATTATTTGATTGATAATTTTCCAGTAGCCTCAATTAACTTGTGGCAAAATGGATTTAGTGAGAACAGTCAGTACAAAACATTCACTCTTAAAGGGGTCCACATTCTCCTTTTGTATGTATCAGTGGGCTCAAGCTTATAATAGGAATGGTTGTGAGGTAGAAAGGATTTCTAGTAACCAGAAGCTATGAGGTATGAAAAATGGTGGCAGTTCAAAAAGAGATCTCTAGACTAATGTTTCCCAAATTTTTTGTTTGACCACAGTACACTTTTAGGCTTAAAATATATTGAAGAATTATAACTGCCCTTTGGGAGAATTCTAGGGGACTGAAAAACTTCCTAGAAAAGGGAAATGTCTTCAAGAAAATCTGATAGCTAAATAAAAGAAATTAAGTTGATTTTTAGACTAAAATTACCACATGTTTTTGATTTATATATGACTTCATATTTTAGTAGGAAAAATATTGCTACTAACAATATTTTTTTTTCCAGGAATTCCTGTTTCTATCATGCAAACCACAGGGTTCCCTACGGCACAGGAAATGGTGTCATAGGCAATCTTCTAGAGTAAATAATTATTGAATACCTTCTTTTCTCAGGTTGATTCTGCAGTCATCTTTCCAGTTTTTCCGTGCCATGTAGGTATAGAGCCACTTGCACAGATGAGAAGAGTGGTTCTGGTGGGGATAGGGCTAGGGTAGGTTGGGGCTATATTCTTCTATACAGGATGGATTCCAAGTGTTTAATCTTTCTTGAGTCATTTGGAGGGGGTATGTTAGAACAATATGTTGCCTTGAAAAGAGCATTGGATTTAGAGTCCCAATATCTGGGTTCAAAACATAACTTTTTGACCTTCAGTGTGGTTTGCAAATCAACCAGTCAAGTCAAGAATGCATTTCTTAAACACCTGCTGTGTGCCAGGCACTGTGCCAAGCTTTGAGGATACAAAAAAAGACATAAACAACATCCATGCTGTCAAGGAGCTCCCATTAGAGAGAGACAATGTGCAAGCAACTCTCAATAAACAAAATTTATACAGAATAAATTTGAGATAATCTTAGAGGATAGGCACTGGTATTAGGGGATCAGTTAAGTCTTCTTGCAGAAAGTGGGATTTTAACAGGGACCTGAAGGAAGTCAGGGAAGCCAGGAGCCAGTGATGAGGAGGGGAGAGCATGCAAAGCACTGAAAATAAGCAGTGGAAATGAACAGAGTCAGTAGATGGAGTGCCCTGTGTGAGGAACAGGAAGGAGACCAGTGACGTTGGCTTATAGAGTACATGGATGAGAGTAAGGCATAAGGGGCAGCTAGAGGGCACACGGAGTGCCAGGCCTGGAGTCAGAAAGACTCATTTTCCTGAGTTCAAATCTGACCCCAGACAATCACTACCTGTGTGACCCTAGGCAAGCTACTTGATTGTGTTTACCTTAGTTTCTTCATCTGTTACCATGAGCTAAAGAAGGAAATGTCAAACCACTCCAATATCTTTGCCAAAAAAAACCCAAATGGGGTCACAAAGACTTGGACATGAATGAAAAATGACTGAACAACAACAAGGTGAAAGAAGAATGGAAAAATAGGAAGGGGCCAGGTTATGAAGGGCTTTAAAAGCCAAATAGAGGATTTTATGTTCGATCCTGGAGGTAATAAGGAGTGACTAGAGTTTATTGAGTGAGTGTGTGTGTGTGTGTGTGTGTGTGTGTGTGTGTGTGTGAGAGAGAGAGAGAGAGAGAGAGAGAGAGAGAGAGAGAGAGAGAGAGAGAGAGAGGGTCAAACCTACATTTTAGGAAGGCCTCTTAGGAAGCTGAGAAGATGGGACTAGAGTGAGGAGAGGCTTGTGGCAAGGACATAAATTAGCAGGCTATTTGAAGTAGTTGAGACTTGAGGTGCCTCATGAGATTCATGCCTGCACCAGAGCAGTGGCAGTGTCCCAGGAGAGAAGGAGCATATACAAGAGATGTTACAAAGATAGAATCAACAGGACTTGCCAGTAGGTTGGATATAGGGGTTAAGAGAGAATGCGTAGTGGAATGGTGGTACCCTTGAAAGCAATAAGAAAGTGAGGAAGGAGGGAGGGTTTGGAGGATGGGCAAAGATAATGAGTTCCATTTTGGACATGTTAAGTTTTTAAGATTTCTATGTGATATCCAGTTTGAGGTCTTTAATAGGTTTGGCAATGCAAGACTGGCAGTTAGGAGAGAAATCTGGGATCTATGAGGATCTGAGAATCACCAGCACAGAGATGAAAATTGAATCCATGGAAGTTGCTGAGATTTATAATTGTAATAGTATAGAGAGGGAAAAGAAGAGGTCCTAGACGGAGTCTTGGAGTAGAATATTCTTGTGGGATGAGAGACACAGATGCTTGACTCCCTTGTTGTGAGTTATTTGGGTCTCTTTTCTTGGACTTACTGGATTTGTAATAGTATATTTTCCCTTTTATAGCAAAATCCAGAGACTTCAAATGGATTCATGGATGATTATGGATCTCTTCAGCCTAGAGACAAGCCAGGTGGTACAGAGGACTAAGTGCTGAGCCTGGAGTCAGGAAGACCTGAGTTCAAATTTGGCCTTACTAATTGTGTAATGCTGGGCAAGCCACTTAACTCATTATCTTCAATTTCGTTAATTGTAAAATGGATTTATTAATAAGAGCACCTACCTCACAGGGTTGTCATAAGCCCCAAATTAGATAATATTTGGAAATAGCTTAGTACAGTGCCTGTCACTTTATAGGTACTATGTAAATGCTTTTCCCTTCTAGAATTCTTTTTTTTTTTAAAATAAAACTCTTTTGATTTTCCTGTGCTATGATAAAAAGGCAGAAAAATGGTTTTGTCTCATATCAGAATCAAGCAAAGAGTTGATAGATCACTGGGCAAAATAGTACAGAGGGAGAATGGAAGACAGCCCAAGATAGAGCCTTAGGGGACACCTGTGGTTAGTCGGTGTGACCTGGATGAAGATGCAGCAAAGGATAATGAGAAAGAGCAGAATGACAGAGAGCAAAATTCTAGGCAAAATCAGGGTCACAAAAACCTATAGATAAGAGTTTCAATAAGGAGTTAATAATGCCAAAGGCTACAGAGATGTCAGAAGGATGCTAAATGAGAAAGGCTGTTAGATTTGGCAATTAAAAAATCACTGGCAACTTTGGATGCAGTGGTTTCTGCTGAACGATGAAGTCAGAAGCCAGACTACAGAAAGTTAAGAAGAAAGTAAGTGGAGGCATTGTGGATTTTGTGGAAGAAATTTAGGGAAGAGATACTGGATGATAGGGTTTTTTTTAAGGATGGGAGAGACATGGGCATGTTTGTAAACAGTGGGAAAGCAGCCAGTTGACAAATAGAGGTTAAAGACTAGTGAAAGGGTGGGAATGATGGAGGGAGCACTCCGCTGGAGAAGATGGGATGAAATGGGATTACTTATATAGTATGTAGAAGGGTTTACCTTGGTAAAGAAAAGGGCCACCTATTTATGAGACACAGGAATGAAGGAGGAGAAAGTGATAGAAGATACCTGAGTGATATGAGATGAGGAAGAGGAGAGAAGGAACTCTCTGCCAATGGCTTCAATTTTTTCAGTAAA